GAGGCCGCAACCGCTCCCTCTGCCCGAGACCGGCTCCTGCGCGGCGCGGCGCGGCGCGGCGCGGCGCGGGGCAGCTCGGGCTACAAGGGGGGCCGCGACAGCACCATGGAGGGAGGATCGTCGCGAAGGGAGGTGGTGGCGGTGGATCGGCGCTGGGGACCAGGAGGCGGCGGCAGAGACGCTCCCTCCTCCTTCTCCTCCCGCCGCCGCCGCCCGCCCGGCTGTGGGAGGGGGCTTCGCGGGATGAGCGCTCAGTGCGGGCGGGAGCAGCTACCGCCGCCTTCGGCTCCTCCCCTCAAGCCTCAGCAGCCGCCCGGCTCCGGAGCCCCGCGCACCCGCCTCGCGCAGACCGGCCCTCCTCCCGCTTTGGCCCTCCCGGCTGCCAGAGTCGCAGGCCACACCTACTCCAGCCCTTCGGGAGGCGGTGACCACGAAAGTGGGGGCGCGCTCTGGGCGGCGCATGCGCGCGGTGCCGGCTACGTAAGGAAGAACGGGCGGGCGCGGGGAATCTAGAGGGCACGGGGGATTGGCGAGCGGGGCGCGTGCGAGCCGCAGCTGCTGAGGTGGGGCTGGTCGAGGTCGTCGCCTCCGCTCCCAAGCTGTGCGTGACCAAGTAAAGAAGAGGGGCCGGGGACAAAAGGTCCAGGGCAGCATGCACGTTCTTGGACGAGATGCCCAGGCTCTCAGGCAGCTCTCCCCCTTCTTTTGTAACCGCAGGAAGCTATCCTTAGTTCTTTTTTTCTTTCTTTTCTTTTTTTTTTTAAACTGGAAAAAAGGCAAGGAAAGGGTGCTAAGGAATGGGAAAGCCAGAACAGTGGTGGAGAGATTGTCACTCAAGACTGTTTAGTGGCGGATGGTTTAAGTGCCACCCTGTCATTCCTTAAAGATGAGGGTGCGGGGAATCGTCCAAAGAAAGGACCAAACAAAAACTGTTGAGGAAGATGTGCAACAACAAACGGTGAACTAGAGAGAGAGGTGATCCCTCTCTCTGCTCTAAAACTCGGCAAATATCTATGCAGCATCTACTCCCGCTAGACACGACCTAGAGAAGGGTCAGGAAACCAGTAACATAAGGAGACTTAAAACCCATTGCACATTGTCTCACCAATCTGAGCTTTGTTCACTATACTCCCTATAAATGTTGGACTTCTCGGGATAAAAAAAATGCAATTAGAAGGAATATATGCACAGGGCCAGCCAGGGAGTGAGGTTGTGGGTGTTGGCGCTGTCCTAGGTTGTATTCAATATGAAGATTTCTGTTCAACTGAGCATGTGCAGAATGAGCCAACACCATCAGACAGGTATAAGCCTCAGTTGAAGATCAATAAAAAAGTCTTTGTTCGGCCATACAGCAGAAGTGTCCAATTAGTTCATAAGTCACCTTCCAGAAATCATTTGTTAAAATTCTTAGTGTGTTTTTTTTTTTTAAGTTTGTTTTTTAAGTAGTTGTTACTGAAGTGGAGGGGGCACGGTGAAGGTTCAATCCTATTTCCTTTTCTGAAACGTTCTGCACAAATCCTTGATCACTCTCTCAAGAGGCTGAGAGATTTACCTTTTAAGCATTTGGGAACTAAACCTCTTTTTTTTTTTAAAGTCAAATCAGAGGAAGATATAATTGTACAAGTTTTCCTTCCTTTCCTGAAGAACTTGCATTTTCTTTAGAGAAGGGGCTTCAGAGCCCCTTTGACGGTACAACAGTCACTGGCCCCAACACGGCCTGTCTACCTCCACATAATGAATAAGGCATCACTCATTCTGCCCTGAAGTGCACAGAAATCCTCACAAGTCACCTTATCAGCTTTGCTTCCTTTCTCCAGCCCAAATCTGAGCTATGCCAAGGCTTGTCTACTTTATTTTGGAGGTTATCTTTCATGGGGAATTATGCTCAGAAGAAAGTGCAGGTGGGATAAAAGGCAACTGAAAAGATAGAAATGGTCTCAATTTGTGGAATCACAGCTGGTTCAGATCTGATAGGAGCCATAGGGATGTAGTCTCACGCCCTAATCTACAGATGTGGAGGCTGTATTCGATGGTTGCTATCCAAGAGCTATCCCATGCCACCACTACTGGATAGCAATTCTAGGTTTAATGTGAGATTATATTAATCTTTCCTGGAAAGTTGATACCTAGAGTCATTAAGTTAATACAGACCCCAACCTCACTGGTTTATCAGCACTTGATATTTCCTGATCAGTCCCTGAAAGGGTCAAGGTCTTACAATCGGCCTGAAGTTCAGAACTTTCCCTCCAACCAAAACTTAGATTTCCTAGCTCCTAGTATGATATTTGGTCAGATTGTGGGTTCTTAGCAATCTACATCTCTCAGAGTTTGTATCATAGATGAAGTGGAAGCCCCTCTCTGCCTCTAGGACTAAAATAGCCAAACCTTTTAAATGAAGCGAATTCTTTTCTATATTTCTTCCAAAAATCTAATATTCTTTCCCCAGTATTAATGGTCAGTGTCAATAGTTTAATTCTGTTTTAATTGCCATACAAGAAATGTTAAAGGAACTAGTTGCACCACTTAGAGTTCTATTCAGTTTTGTTAATAGCTGAATATTCAACCAACAGTCGTTTAAACAAATGGAGGTGGTAACTTTCTCAATTTAGCAAGGAGTCTAAAGATGTGGTTATTGGCATTGAATCCAATACTCCACGGTTTTGTCAGTGACCTAGTTTGTCCTTTTCACTTTCACATCCTTGGTAGTTTGCCTGTCTTCCTAGATTTGCTGCTTTACCATCTCAAGATGTCTGCCACCATTTCAAACACCAAAGGCATGAAGCAGAAAGACAGTAAGGGCAGGTGAGGCTTTTTTGCTCTCTGTCTCATCTTCTATGAGGGAAAGGCAATATATTTTCCCTATCTCACTTGTCCGGAACAAAGTCACCTGGCAGGCAACCTCATTTGAAAGAGAGAGTGAGACTTGCCTTCTCTTTGGATATTGACAGGAAAGAAGCAGGTGGGGAATGGACTTCAGCAATCAATCAGCAATGTTTCCAATATAGGAAAATTACCATTTATCATCATAATATAGATATACCACTAGTGTGTAACTGACAGGCCTTAAATTTTTGGTAAACATCTAAAAACCCACAAGGATGGAGTTGGTACTACATAAATTTGATTCTCAGATGTCAGTACAAATTTTCAATGACTTTGAGTGTTGGAGTTTCTCAAGTTGCAGAAAACATTCTCGGATTGCCCAGCCCCCATGTACTTTCAGCATGACACAGATACAGAAGGGGAAAAAACACTCTAGAGAAATATTAATATGAAGGCTACACACAGGTCAGTGTGGCATGAGGCTAATTTAAGCAATTTAGACTTCAGCTTTATTTTGTACTATGATTGTTTGAGCATATAAATTATTACTGAATTAAAGAATAAAATTAAGAATGACACTGTTCACAACTGGAATAAAGTTGTTGCTTCCTGGCATAAACAGGCCATTCTAATCTCAAATGAAAGACACTATCCATCGTTCCAGTAAAAGCTACTTGAGTCACACTTGTACTCTAATACTTTGTTGTTCTTTGTTTTATATTCATTCAATGAAGGTTTACGTAAGCCACCAGAGCTACAGATACAAGTAAGGCAGATGTGGTCTCTGTCCACTCTTAGGCGCAGTCTAAAAGAAAATAAGGATCAGGCTAGTAATTACAATGAGAAGTGATGGTCCTTACGGTCTGGGAAGTTTGAGGCAACAAATAAGAAGAGGCCTGTGGGGCTGGGGAGATGGCTCAATGGGTAAAGTGCTTGCTGTGCTAACATGAGGACCTGATATTGGATCTCCAGCAGCCGCAGTCTAACTACTAGCCAGTGTAGCTGAAACAATGAGCTCTAGTGAGAGACTCTGTCTCAAGAAATAAGATGGAGATAGAGGAAGAAAACCAACGTCAGCCTCTGGCTTCCATATATGTACACATGAGCAATCACATCTGCACATACACCACATGCATACATATACACAATTATCTATTCATATGAAGCAAAACTAATATATAAAAAATACATCAAGAGTGAGAAAAGTATAGAAATTAGCTAAGTTAAAGGACTGGGAACTTATGGGTACTAAGTAGAATAGCATTTATGAATTCTTTGAGAGGAGCAAGAATATACCCATTGAAAGAAGACAATGCTCTTTTCAAGTCCTGAGTCATGCCTGGATCATATAGTGTAGGAAGAATGAGGCCAGAAGAGGTTAGGAAAATAAGAAGGTACCAGATAGTAACAGTTGTTAAAGGCCATGTTAGAGTTTGCCCAGCTGGTCATGGTGGCACTTGACACTGACTTTTCTATGTAAACCTTGGTCCTCCCAGCCCCATGCACAAATAAAGTTCTATTATATATAAAAAAATTTACAGGCCAGCACTTGGGAGGCAGAAGCAGGTGGATCTCTGTGAGATTGAGGCCAGTCTGGTCTGCATGTCGAATTCCAAGCTTGTTGGGGATGCAGGAGACACTGTCTCAAAAAGACCAAAAAAAATTTATTTTATATTATTTATATTTTTGTGTGCACACATATGCATGAAGGTACCCAAAGAGGCCAGAAGGGGGTGTTGGATCCCTTGGAGCTGGAATTCCAGGCTTTTGTGAGCTAACTGATGTCCTGTCCTCTGACAGAACAATAAGCACTCTAACCCACTGAGCAATCTCTCCAGCCATGGAATACTACTTTTAAGTGGTTTTTCCCTTTGTACTTGGTGCACGCTATCTTTGCCATCCATTACTTTAAAAAAATGCAGAAATTCCTCTAGTACACAATTTAAATTCCCTCTGATCTCTTTTATCATTTTTGTGTGTCCAACTTCAGCTTCAGCATA